AGAGATAAAGAGAGAGACAAAGAGAGAGAGATAGATAGATAGAGAGAGACAGAAAGAGAGAGAGAGAGAGAGAGAGAGAGAGAGAGAGAGGAGGGAGGGGAGAACGTCCATCACAGAACTCCCAGGGGTCTCAGGCCGGCCGCCATGTTGTTTCTCCTTCGCCAAACAGCGCGAAGTCACACGGGATCTCGCGATTAACGAGAAGATGGCGAGAAGTGAGTGAGCCCTGCGAGAACTTACAGCAAAAAAAAAAAAAAGAAAGAAAAAAAACAAACAAACTCAGACTGATCATTTGTCCAGATAGGCAAGCAAGCATACGAGAAGATGGTGGGAACTAGAAATAAACAACAACAACAACAACAACAACAACAACAACAACAACAACAACAACAACAACAACAACAACAACAACAACAACAACAACAAAGTGGCGTCGGTAGCCTAGTGGTTAGGCTACCGGGCTTGTAAAAGTGAGATTGCGGGTTCAGGGGTTCGAGCCTCAGCTCGGTCCGACGTTGTGTCCTTGGGAAAGGCACTTTAAACGAACTTTCCACTGGGCTCGGTCCTATCGGAGACGGACGTTAATTTAGGTCCCGCCTCTTTAATAAACTAATAGTGTTGATAGGGACGTTAAACTCATAGTATTTCATTTTTTTTTCAACAACAACAACAACAACATCTATCCTGAATATTCGTCAAGATTGACAAATAAAAGAGAACCTGGTGGGAACTTAAAACAAATAAACAAAACAAAACCTCATGTCGACTATTCGTTGAGATTGTCAAATATACGAGAAAATGGTAAGAACGTTTTTGAAGCTAAGACAACAAAATCCATCCCGATTATTCGTCCAGACAGGCGAATAAACGAGATGAAGGCGAAAAGACAGTATTGCGAGAGCTAAGATCAAAGAAAGCCATTCCCGATATTCGTCGTCGACCTCAAGAATGACAAATAAGCCTGAAGGTTTTTTAAAAAGAATTTCTTTTTGTTTGTTTTTTATTTGCCAATATGGAATGGAACTTTTCAGAACGTATCACTTGGGAGTAGAGTCGTCAAGAAGTGCCAGATCTAAAACAGACATCGGTGATCATGGATCTCCTTTCATTTTTTCGCTTGGATGTCCTCGTAAAATCCTAAATTATTATCCTAGTGCTTCCCCGTCACCGATCTGTTCATATTTTCAAACAAGTTTCTCTAGGTCTACCCCTGCATCGTTTGCCTTCTACCTTTCTAGTGAAAGCGAGAGGTTCAAACCCTTTCTGTCGAGTCATATGTCCTAGAAATTGCATTTTTCGCTTCCTAATTGCTGTTATTAATGAGCACCCCACCTGGACTTCTTTCGCTCGTTTCATTAGGAAAGAAAGTAACTTACAAAGAAATCAAGGGGGAGAGACAAGGACAACAGATGGTTGATAGGAAAGCAGGATCAAACCACGCAGGGCACCCGTCAACCAACCACCATCTTTCTTCTTTCACCTGCTGTCGTAAACGTCATTTAGCCACTTTTATCACTACAGACCCCTCGCGTTGATGGTGGACGGTAAAGTGAAAGAACAAAGCATAAACTGACGGTTGATATTCGCGAGAACAATAGATGTTTTTTAATACATGCAAAAACGTTGTCTTAGTTTTAGTTTTAGTAGAGGTTTTACGGCGCTCGCAACTGCTAAAGGTCATATGAGCGCCAGAAGATTAGAAGTGTTACAAGAGAGTAAAGAATATACAAAAGAAGAAGGGGAGATAAGGACGATAGATGTTTGATAGGAAAGAAGAAGCAAACCACACCAGAGCACCCGCCAACCACCCACTAAAAACGTTGTCTAAGGTTCAAAAACGTCTGCTTGATATTTGTAGGACAGTATTGTTTTGTCTCATGCACGCAGACTACACAAAACATTTATCAGAAAAACACGCACCTCCCACCCCCTCACTCCCCCCCCCCCCCTTCCATCCCCTAGATCCCTTCCCTCCCCGCACACTCCTCGGTCCCCCCAGTCTCTTCTTAGAGATTGTTATGGAAGTACCATAATCTTGAGGCGAGCTGACGAAACGAGTAACTTCTCGCAATCCACAAATGGAGATAATACATTACATAGGTAAAAAAATCGACATTACGGTCAGATAAGTAGATTTTCTATTGATACCATGTTATATTCTTTGTATTGTATAACATGCCTTTCATTATTTCATACTTATAAATTTTTTAAAAACTTCACCTATTTATAAGCCTGATGTATCTATTGAGCATCCGAGCAAAGGAATGAATGGAGAACCATGACCGCCGATGTCTGTCGCAGATCTGACACTGGATGATGATATTGATGATGGTGATGATGATGATGATGATGATGATGATGATGATGATGATGATGATGATGATG